AATATTAACCAAATTCAAATTAAATTAAATTAGTATGTCGATTCAACTCACAATCCTCAGGAAATAGCGTGTTTACATATCGAGTAAAGACAGGATTTTAATCAGAGCTGAAGAAAAGCAATATCCCACACGACGAATTAAAAACCATTTTAAAAAATCTGCCGCTTACCTGCCATCGGTGCTTTTCCCCATTGTGCGGCGGTGAAGTGCATAAAGAAAAGCGAGTTTTATCTGAAAAAAAATATCTATTGCAGGAGGTGTGTTTCGAGGAAATTTCGTCAGCTATCAATCTTTCATCTTATCTTATTAATCTGTAGTCTAAGGTGCTTTTAAAAAGTCAGAAGTAAATGGGAAGGATAGAAGGTGCGAAACAGTTTGGGAAAATGGTTAAATGCTCACAGAAAGTCTTCTTCAAAATTCAAACTAACGCTGGAGTCACCGATTTTCTCAAGAAGAAAACAACAGAAAAATCAGAGCAAGGAGGCAGCTAGCAGGAAGTCTTTTCGGAACGAGGCCTAAATTCTTAGACTTCAATGGCGCTTTAAAATCGAAATTTAAGGCTTGTACAAAATAGCGTATTGTTTGGCGGTGGAGGTGTGTCTGTGTGCTCTATCGCTATGTGTGCGTGTGTGGGACCAGGAAAGAGGGCCATAGGACCCCCACTCTGAATATCTGCTTTAAAGGCAGCCTGTTCCTCACTTTCTCTCTCTCTCTCTCTCTCTCTCTCGCTCTCTTCCCCAAAAGTTGCCTCTCCCATCGTCCGGTCAGCCTCCCCACCTAGGGGTCACTCGCGCACCGCAAAAATACCTACAAAGAAAAATACCACGCAAAAACGAATTACTTCCGCCAAATGGCTACCTTGTTGAAATTAGGTGAAACATAGAAACCTTAAAAAAATATTTAGGCGTAATCTATTTTCATCATCCGAGAAAAATGATGCTATATAAATTTCAAATAATTGTTTTACTAATTTTCAATAATAACCATGATTTATGGAACTACGCATCTCCGGAAATCCGGCCACATTCTTCGAGATGGATCCGTGAACCATTAGAGACCTCAAAAAGCAATTTTTAGAAACTCGATAAGGTGTAGCATAGTTTCTGCACGATGTACCCGAATCTAAAGGGCCTATCGTCATGTTTCGGCAAACACCAGATTTCAAATTTAACCTCGGCGCCTTTCGGAAATACGGGTGTTAATGATGAAGGGTTTCGAACGGAATTTTCCTGGAGCTCGATCCGAAATTTTAACGTGGGTTTCCGGTGCAAGTTGATTGCAGATTCCTCAGGGCGGAGTGGTAGGGGAAAAGTGCGGAACATTCAAAATATTCCTGCCCACTTTTCGATGGTCTTAAATATTTCTAAATGTGCCTTTGTAAATCGAACCCTGGGCAACGGGATCTACAATTAAATAAACGCTACAAAATTCAATTTAGTTTTGAAAAATTAAGCGCAAAAAGGTAAGAAGAACCCACCCGTATAATATAATTTATTACTAACTATAAAACAAAATAATTTTAGTTAACTCCTGAAATGGGGGTGAAAAACTTTTTTAAAGGATGAAACGGCATTTGCAGATCGTGCAGACAATAGACTGAAATCGCATTCAATTAAACTTTTAATATGAAAACATGACACATATTTTTTATTAGCATGTTAGAGCGTGAGAGAGAGGAGAGAGAGAGAGAGAGAGAGAGAGAGAGAGAGAGAGAGAGGGAGAGAGGGGGAGAGAGAGTAGAAAGAAGGTGGGAGGGAGCAACAGATACAATATCTCACGGCACAATCAGATTTTATCGTTTTAAAAATGTTTGGATTTACCGACATCAGCACATTCCGTAATTCCCGCGATAAATCGCGATTTGACAACGCTGTGGGGTGGAACAGATTTTTTTTCGGTGCTGTGGGCCCCTAGGGAACAGCTGTTTAGCCTTCCCCCATCGCCTCGAGGCCCTAAAAAAGCTGGGGGAATACGGGGCCGCGGAAATGGGCCGAAGAAATCGGAGCCTTGTCTTTTGCCGTGTCATCATTCGATTTCCGCATTCTTAAAGGGAAATGGAAGCGCGAGAATCTAGCGTCTAAACTCGGATCCTTATGCATTATCGGGGGGGGAGCTAGGGGCGAAACAACTTTTTCTGTAGTATGCGCATTGTCTAATCTCGATGGAAGAATTGTTTCTAAGCAATTTTGACTATTCCTAAACGCCAAGAACCGATACAAATCTCGATGAAAAAATACAAAACTCGAAAACCGCTTAGAGAGTCGCTTTGAGGCAAGCTGTTTTTGTGGTTTTTGAGGATCTTATTGGCAACAAACCTATTCTAATTCGAGTTCATCCGAACTTCAAAAGTATCAAAGTACCCCTGCTGCAAAAAATGTTTCAGCGCTCTAGGAGTAGTTCTTCCTCCCTATATGTTCATTCGAAGGTCGCTACGTACTCTAATTAATTATTCTCTCTATTTTATGCAGGTTAGCTAGTTTTAAAAATCCTTAAAAAAAAATATTCTAGAAGATTGTCGGCCTCTTAGGTGGCGCAGCACTGCCAGCAGCAATCACCTTATTTCAAAAGATGTTTCAAACTTTTTCAATATTAACCATGGATTCCGTAATCCAATATGATCGCATCCAGAGTTTTGAAAAGATCAAAAAAGGCGGCTCACGTAAAAATGACGGTTTAAAATTAGTGCGCTTTATGATACAGTAAACACGGGGAGAAACGTATTGGAAGAGAGAGCGAAAGAGAGGAGAGAGAGAGAGAGACAGAGAGAGGAAGAGAGGGGAGAGAGAGAGAGAGCGAGAGAGCGTGAGTGAGAAAGAGAGCACGTACCTTCCAAAAATGTTTCACTTTTCCACAAAAACCATGGCCTTAAAAAGCCAACAATTAGACGAAAATGATCGAACATAAACACAACCCCCAAAAATTACCAACGCATAATTTTATATTGTTTATTGCAAAAGCTCTTGGTGCTTGCCAAGTTTACAGTTGGCCCATTTGCCGCTCTAGCTTTCGGGGTCTCCCGTGGGTTAATGGGAGTTGGAAAAGTGGGGTGGAAGGGCCCTAACGGAGGATGAGAAATGGCCAGTCATTATATAGCCCCCACCACTCATCCATAATCTGCTTTTCTTAATTGACCCCCAGACACAGAAAAAGTCCAGTTTATAGGCCACAGCCGGCAGGCGAGACCGGTAAAATCAGAAACGCTTTTTTAGGGGGTAGATTCACGGGTAGGATTTTTATGGTGGGGATCGGTTTCATAATTGGATTAATTCGAATGCCTTCTAAAGCTCAATTAATCTAATTATCTTTTTCTTAAATTTTTTTTTAAAAAAAAATAAAAATTTTAAAAAAATTAAAATTTTAATAAAATAATAAATTAAAATAAAAAATTTTATAATCTTGTGAAACGGACCGATGGCAGCTATTTAATTATAAAGTTTGCGCCGATAAATCAAAATTACATAAAATCAATGATTAAGAAAAATGAAACAATGTTTCACCAAGTTACATCCTAAAAAATTTTCAAGAAAGACGAATTTCCGCTGAGCTACGACCGATTTAATTATATTGTTTCAAAGCCTGCTGAACCGTACACAGTACTCCATTGTACACAAAAAAGAGGGGATGGGGGGATGGTCGGGGAGGACATAAGGAGAGCCGCTTATGAGCTCGCGTGTAGTGTAGCAAGTGGAAGGAGGGGGGAATGCCCTCAGGGCATAAATAAACAAACAAACAGACATCGGGACATACACCCGAATACTGTTGACGGTACGCGGGGATGGAAGAATTTGGGAGGCACCACGATATAGCTACCGCTTTAATGGAAGGCTTAAGAAATTTGGTAATGGACTGTTAGCGGGGGTTAGTATTTTCAATCGGAATTTTCATGTTATTTTTAAAAACGCATTTTGTGTATCAAAACAATCCCAAATCCTTTATAGCGGCTTACCGGAAAAAATTCCAAAAAATTGTTTCCAAGAAAATGCGTTTCGTAAACCGGCAACAGTAAAATTTGGTCGCCATGAGATTTTTAAAAACGAAGCTGTTTTTAATATCGTTCTTATGTCGTTTGTTATTCTATTTTGTTTTATTATTCTTACAATAGTTTTCTTTGTATAAAATGTTGTTCTTGATCCATTAAAAGATTAAGAACAGCGTTAGCTGACGACGCCAATCAAGGCTAGAAAATGGATGTTTGATACTATGTTAGTATGCTACGAATCCCGATACATGTAATTCCCATCCGAAACGTGCGTGGTAAATCCCATCAAGAAAAAGGTCCCAAAACCGGTGATTTGTCGGTAACGTTTCTACGTCCGTTCACTGCTCGGCTCTTCTGCGTACCTTTCTGCCGGAGAGGCAAACAAAACACTGGCTTATTCTACCGATTTAATCTACTTTAATTGAATAAATAATAACATGAATACTCAAGTTACTAATATTCAATTAGGATCAGATTTGTGGCGATTCTGAAAACCCCCCCAAAATCAAGCCTAAAAATGTTTCAAGGAACGTTAAAAATACAAAATTAGGCAAAATGCAGTCGTCGCGGGTTAAACGAACGATAACGATTCTATGGTTAATTTTGTATTTTTATTGTATCAATAAATGTGGCGCATTTTTATTACATTTTTTTTGCAATATGATTAACTGGAGAGCAGGGCGGCTGTTAAAAAAAAAAAAAAAAATAAAAATCAAAATAAATTTTTGGAATTTAATGTTTCGTGTGGTCTTGTGCAAAAAAGCTTCACTTCCTGAATAATCCCATGTCACTTGCCGCTTATCCAAAAAGTCGGAAATTTTGTATTTGGAGCACAAGGCAATTTTATTTTGGATTTTTATTTTATTAAATCCTCACTCAAATGACTTTTGAAGCATAAGTGAAACACACAAGAAAAATCGATAATTTCGAAATCAACGGAATGCAAGTAATGGGTGGGATAAGAAAATCGACAAAAACATCACAATTTCCTAATTTATATATCCAAAATGTATGCATATTATTTGTGAAGGGGTTTCGTGGCGAGGAAATAGTTCCAGTTGTGGTTGTCGGCGGCGATGTAGCCGAGTTTGTTGTTCCACCCCGACGTCAGCGAGTCGTACTCTTTTTGCGAGAATTTCTGAAAAATGGGAATGTTTCGGAAGATACTTCAAATGTTTATCGTAATTGTTTACTATTTCAAACGCAAAAACTTACAAATTTTTATAAAAAATCGAAAGTATAGGTTTTCCATTGCCATTTCGAGCAAATTTCGAATTTCCAACCCGTTGCTTGTTTAGGTTCTTGAGTTTTAATTGAAGTATTGAAATATGAACTATAACACAACAAACAAAACACTACTAAATGTTTAACTTAAAAATATTTGCCTTACAACGTACATCTGGACTCATTCAAAGAATTGGTTTGCCGGAAGCACACCAAATTGCATATTTAATGCCGGCTAAAATCGTTTTATTTCCTTTTAATTTTCGCCATTTTCATTGTGCTCTTAATTCACTTACTACCAGAGAATTAATTGCTAATCGATGGTTTTGGGATAAATGGTGGTAATAAAATCGCTTCAAAACTGGGAGCATTTCTGAGAATTTTGGACGGGTCGTAGCAATTGTAGAGAAATTTTCCGTTTCCTTGCTTTTTCTAAGTTGATAAAACATAACTGAATCGATAGTGCTGATTAAATCGATAGTATATTTTGTTGCTTAAGCGGGTTCAGCGCCTAGGAATGTTATGCGTCATGCACAAATAAAATAAAAGTTACGATGCAAAAACTACGGTACGAAAAAAATTTTGGTTTATGTATTTTTGCCGAAACATTGTTTCAAGAAAATTTTGGTACTTGGGGCTACTCAAAGTTTTATGGGCCATTATGGCGTTGACTACGATGTCATTGCGACCAAAAGAATTCAGCATTTCGGCATTTTTTCGAAACATTCTATTTTTTTGATGCCTAATAGTTAATAGCGAATTACTTACGCGCAAAAAGTCGGTCTTCTCGTCCTCCAACCGCTGCTTCTCCGCCTGCAGGATTTCCTTGAATCGATACGTCATATCGTCGACTTTCACGTCGGCAAAACCAGCGTCAACAGCCATCTGGATTTTTGGAAAATGGAATGTTCCAATTTTTAAAAATTACCTTGCGAATCTCGTCGCGATTTCTTAAAAAGTAGGCTCGCTGCTTGACGTATTCCTAGAAAATAATATTGTCTTAATCGGTTGGTAATTGAGCTTAAATTTAAACATAAATAAAAACGTTGTTTTTAGAATTTTGAAACCCTAAACTTTTATTAAGATTGGGTTTCGGATTGCGGCTGTAAACCCATCCGTTTAAAAAAATGTGTTACAATTTTTCGAATCAACGTGGGGTCGGTCGGATCCCTAATAGGGACGCATCTTTGGCGCTAGGCTACGCTTCCAAAGTAAATATACGAACGCAAAGACTCACGTTACAATACGATACGCTACCCTACGATACTTTTTACTCTTTATACATATTTTAATATACCATTCCAGATATATGCGCTACTCTTTCCTACGCGGCGATCCGTACAAAAAACACTTGTAATGCACTTCGGGACATATACGCTTCAAATTTTCACACGCTAAAATTACGATGCGCTAAGATCCACAATGCGATAAGATGTCTACAATACAGCACAAAATTTTTTGAAGATGACGCAGATACCGTACCTTATCAGTGACGTAACTATTCGCTACGCTACAGTACTATATCCGCTACCATAACCCACGTTACGATACGATCCGCTAGGCTACGCTATGCCACGACACCCAGTATGTTAAAGTCTATTTTCCGCTATCACCGAACAGCCATTGTCGCCTCGATTGCTTATTTATGCTCGCAAAAATGCGAAACATATGAATGGCAAGATCCGGGGCGTAGCCAGAAAAATTTTTGGGGGCCCAAAATTTTTTCAAAAAACTTAAAAATTTTAAAAAAAACACGCCGCAGGCAAACATTTATAAAAAAACGGTACACTCCAAAAATAAAACTAAAAGAAAAAATAAGCAGCAAAATTTTGAGAAAATAAAAATCATAAGGGTCCCCCTTTAAAATTTCCGCCGCGGCCGATTCCTGGGGGCAGGGGGCCGGCCCCGGGCCTGTATTACGCTACCCCGGCAACCTTTTTTTTTTGGGTGGTTTGGTACTGAATATTTACAGCAAGATACACCAGGAATGTTCAGACTGAAAGCTTTAATAATAAAACTAAGCTTACCTTGAACTGCTCGGACTGCTCGCCGGCACCGCGGCCATACATTGTGATCAGCACCTGGCCGCCGGGCTTGAGCCATTTCTGAAAAAATATGTTTCATGAAGGACGCTAGGAAACACGGTTATTTTTTTGTTTGCTATAGACAAATCAGCCTCTTTAAATATGACATAACTTAATATAATTACCATATTTTATGACAAAACAGCTTTTTATGAAAATAAAACCAGCTTTAGATATTAAAAACTCTGGCAAGTCACGAATTTTCGACCAGAGAGTATTTGGAGAAAATCGTACGTTTATTCCGATTCTAAAATATAGAGCTTTTAGAGAAAATTTAGCGCTTTCGAATTGAGACCTCAATAAAATCGACAGATAAAGGCAAAACGTAAAATAGTTAAATTACCATAATGCGCTTGAAGAGCCCGGGGATGTCTTCGATGTGCTGGACGCAATCACGGCTGAAGATGACGTCAAAGTGATTCTCCGGGAATTCGTATTGCATCGCGTCACCGATCATGTACCTAAAATTGGTGGTTTTACAATTCGATTCAGCGTTTTGAATTTGAAAACATCTAATTGTGCTTGCATGCCGAAAATCATAACGTCGAAATTTCATAATGACGGCATCTCAGCATCTTCAAAGTTTTTGCGCATGTAAATATCGACCGGTTGAAAGAACCCTATTATAGGCATTTGCCTCAAAATGTTTCAGGCAAATCCCGCATCGTGGGCTTCTTAAATCAACTAATTTAGCAAGGCGAGGATTTCTAAAAAATTGTGTTTCGTTGAAGCTTGTATAGGCGCGATTTACCGCCTAGGTAATGCACAGGAAGGGACTAAGAATTGACCGAAATATTTGAACAATTGTAGAATTGTAACAATTTTCTACAGTCTTTACATGCTAGATTTTATTTTTGGCTTTGAAGCCAGTTGTAGATTGGCAAAGTAAAACTCGTTGGTTGGAATAAAAATCCATGTTTCAACGATTGCGTGAATGAAACTTATGAAGTTGTAGTCAGTGGGTGGTGCCAGCCAGTGTCAGCGCAGTCAGATAAAAAAAAACTTGTATGTTTAGTGATAGTTGCAAACCATACAACGTTCTAGTACTTTTTTTGGTAAAATGCCGACACGGGGTTGGGTCTCTTGCTGCTTTTTCTCCTTTTTTTCTGATGCCTGCCGGTCCCTTTAAAATTCTGCTCACTTGACACGCGTATCCCGATCCTTGTGATTTCTCTCGAGGGCGATCACCAGCATATTGGCCGACAGATCCATCCCGGTCACCTCGAGGCCGAATTCCTAAAATGGAACAGGTTGAAAATCCCGGCTTCGTGACACACTTGCTTAAAATAAAAAAAATTTTTCTGAGTTTTTTCGATGTTTCAGAATCATTATAGCACCCAAAATTCTACTACGTGATTATTCCTTAAACGTTTTGGAGCATTTAAACAATTTTTTAAGCAAAAAAAAACATGAAAAAACGTACCGAAGCAGCCTGCCTGGCCCCACCGCCAATCCCGACGCCAATGTCCAGCATTTTTTGGCCGGGCTTCAACGAGCCGAACCGTTTCAGTACGCGCAGATTCTCGTCCCAGCCGCCTAAAAATAGTGCAATAAATTATGTTATTATGATAAACAAAATTTACAACTTTTAGCGAGCTTAAATTTATAAATTTTTACTGAGAAAATTTAAATTTAAAAAAATTAACAAATTTAAAACAATTTTAACCGGGGAATAATTAAAGGGCTGGAGAAAGATGGAATTGCTGAAAGAGCAAAGAGGGTCGCACCGGACGGGGGTCGAACCAGGGATGGTCCGCCCCGCAGTCCGATGCGCTAGCCAGTACACCAAAGAGTCGAGACACTAATATAGCTGAAGGGCAAAGAAATAGGGTTTTTTTTGTAAAACATTGAATTTTGCAGGCGCGTTTATAAAACCTGCAAATTTTCTTTGCATAACAACCAACTGTGTATCTTATTTAACGGTTTAATTTCGTTCAAAATCGCAAACTATAAGACCTAAGCATTTAAATGTGTCAATGAACAGCCAGGATGAATAGTAATAAATCGAGCTAATGGTACTCGATTTTCAATTTAAATAATTAAATGGCTCAAGTTTTGGGGGACTTTGTCGTTACAAATTGGTCGATGGAAAAAATCCTGGCGGAATAATTATAGCACCCAAAATTCTACGACATGACTATTCCTTGCAGGTGGGCTCAATCTCCAAAAAAAATTCGAAACCAGGTTTTTTAGCTATGAAATGATATATACAAAAACTATTTTAGCTATACAGACGCTGTATACAAAAAATCGAAGGTATCTAATCCTTATAGCTTGCAGCTGAAAACGTCGCCCTTAATGTAATCGATTAATCGAATTTCCAAACCAGCCAGACGGCAGCGAAATTAAGTGTTTTACAAAAATGACGGTGGTCGTGGAGGTGTGTGAGCCTAATTAGCCGTCATGATTTTTTGTCACATTAAGTTAAATTCAAAACCTTATTTTTTTGAATTCAAAATTTCTAGAAACGAACTTTGGGAAGGATTTTAAGTTACAAAGGCGCTAGTTATAAATATTGTCTATTTCCGGTAATTAAAGCTAAATTCAACCTACCCGGCGAGATGAATTCGGCTCCAAAAATGTATTCGTAGGCCCCGATGCCATCATTTGTGTACTGGGTCTTGTCGAGGAAATCGCGGAACGTCAACATATCTCCCTTAATTATACATTATTATTTTAATAAAATAATTATTTTGACTTTTAATTTTACGTGGCTAGTAAGCGCCTAAAAAAAACAGAATTAAAAATAACAGTTTACATTAATCACCTCTTCTAAAAATATGTTTCGACTATACTCAAAAAACAATGAAGTTTCATGCTATTAATTAATTAGCTTGAAATGTCCGCCAAATTGCTACATACAAGTGTTTTTTGACAAATAGTTTATCTAATGTAAATACCAAAAAATCCTGTTTCAAGAAAAATTCAAAAGCATTTTTATTGAATTATACCAATTGTTCATTCGACTGACCCTTACCTTAACGGGCGCAAACTCCTTCTTCGTCAGCGTCCAGAACAGGTCGAAATAGTTCGATTTCACCTGAAACGTTTGATAAAATTTATTTGAATTAATCAAAAAACTCGGTTGTTTTAAATTTTAATAACAAAGTGGCCAAAGCATTTTTTCAGAATTAGCTGATTCAAGGAACATTCTAATTTTTCACTCCAAAGGCTTAAAGGGCTGCGAAAGGCAAGGCCATCAATTTTTCCATTACTGTGCATTAATGCATATCTCCGACTAGGTACTAGCTATGGCGAACCCGTTTAATAATATCCGAGGACATTGTGATAAAATACGTTTAGTATCAATTTCAAAAAAAATGTGTTTCAGCTATATAATAAGTGCTCCAGCTAGTTGACCTGCTAATCAACGATTTTTTTAGTACGGCCTACTTTTCGATGTTTTGGTATTTAGTAATAAAAAGTTCGGACGCTAAAAAGTTGTGCTGGCCTTTAATGCAAAAATTACTGGAAATTCTAAGATACAAACTACAAAATATAGACGAACCGCAATACTGGCCACGACCGGTTGGCATGCGTAGAATTCGAAGCCGTAATGGGTTCCGTTTTCATCGTGACGGTAGACGTCGAAGAAATCGGTCAGTGACGCGACGTCTTTTCCCTCGGCGGTGGCAGCTAAATTTTAAAAATTTGGATTTTGAAATTTTGTGGTGTTGATGAATTTATCGGCAAAGGGGGCCAGAAGAATAATCAAGAAGACGTCACGGAGGTAACTTCAGTTTAATGGAACCTGTTTTTTTTGCAATTTTTTAATCCTTTATGCGATGGCCTACAGATTTACAAAACAGCCTTGCGGCTGTGGGCGGCTCGCCTTCATCTCCCCGAAAATGATTTTGTCGAAAACCATTTTGTTGAAATTTCACTTTGTCGAAATTTAAACGTCTTTTTAGCGTCGATTATTTATCTCGAACATTGCGCAAATTGAAATTTTCGTGCATCGAAATTTCCAAAAAAAAATCAAGTTTCGACAAAATTATACACTTTTCGACAAAATGCTATATAGACAAGATAAATTTTGACATAATTAAGTTAGACAAAATGAAATTTCGACAATATGACATTTCGACGAAATAATAATTCGAAACTTCCGATATACTGATAGCAAATTGTTCTGGACACTCCAAATTATCGCTATGGGTTTTGCCCGGATTTTTAACGACGATTTAACGACAATGACGACCTGCTTTATTGTTGCAAAAAACCAATACGGTAACTTAGTTTTAATGAAACAGGATTTTTCCGGCGTTCCCTTATTTTGCTGATTTTAGCAGCCGTAAAAAAACCGCTGCGCACGATCCAACCACTTCGAACAAGCCTCTGTTCCAGTTCTTCTTTTTTTGATGCGTTTTAACGGCCGTAAAAAATACCCGCAAAATATTTGTGGGCTAACATAATTACAAGGAAACGTATATTTTTGGGATAGCCACAGTTTTACAGGCAAATGCATAGTTTAAAAAGTCAAAATTTAGAATTCATTAAAATTGTTAGCGATATGTATCTTGTTAAAAAGTGTAAACTTATTCAATTAAATATGCAGGACTAAATATTACTTACAAAGATCCTCTCGCACGATGCACGTGCCGCCAACCTTCAACGACTTCAGGGCGATCTTGACAAAGTCGTCGAGTCGTTTTTCCTTGACAACCTGGAAGCAGATAGAAATTTTGACGACTGAATTAATGGCCGCAAAGCCTCGCTCAATCAATACCAAGGTCAAAACATTCGTTTCGCAACGCGACCAACTGTCGGAAAAATATGTTTCATCCTTCTGGCTTGTGCCATAAAATTTGTAATGAATTAGTGAGACGTGGATATATCCGTAATTACTATAGTCACGAAACACGAGCATCATTTAAATACATCTTAAAGTATGATTTGGAGGTAAAAGGGTTCTGAAAATTACGGTGCTGTACTGTCAACGGGGTAGTGTAACTTTTTATTTTCCGCTTATACCTACAGGTTAATAGTACAAAATGTATGAAATTTTTCTCATGTTCCTAGTAAATTTTGATTGCTAGATAGTTATAAAATACATTAAAAAAACATAAATGCATGTGTTTAATATTGTTAAAGAATAATATAGATTAAAGTAAGTGTTTAAATAATGTTGAACTTATTTTATGATCAAAATACCAAAGCCAAATAATTTAATCATAGTAAATTTGCACCTAAACAAGCTCTTTTAAGGAGCTAACGAGCTAACATTCAAAACCCACTTTCTCGTGCGAGATTGTCTTGTTGAAGATGAGGCCATCAAGTCCGAGCTGTTCAGCCCCAGCCAGCGACGATAATTCACCGAAATGGACGGCGTGGCAAGCCTCGGGCAGGCTGTCTTCCAAATGCTTTCTGAATTCATTTTAATGAATAAAAGTGTTTTAAACGGGTTTCGATGAAAACTTGGTTAGAATTTGAAAAGTTGTCAAGCGCAATTTCGTATTAACACAATTTGATACTCCTTCTGCTAACAAATAATTTTGGAAACATATTTTTTCCAAGGAAATCCGCTTGGATTACTTTTCTAGGGGAAAACTTTAAATACGATAAATTAGGTATTGGAAAGAGGCTTCTTCTAATTATCTTTCTAATGAAGAAAATCAATATACTTTGCAAAATCAACTAAAAATTTCTTATTAGCTCGGTTTTTAGAATCTATGGCTAGCGGCCACGAATTGCCTTTAGACTGATTAAACATATAGAATGTTTAGCTAAAACATTGAATTTCTATCGGCTTCAAATTTTTCCAAAAATAAAAACTGTTGTTTTCCATAAAAATCAATATGTTTCCATATAAAAATCTCAAAAACTCTTTAAATAAACATACGTGGCGGTATCGCAATGGGCGACGATTCCGATATTTCCGCTTCGGTGGCCGACACGGGCAAGAAGGGCCTCGACCAACTCCAAGTACTCGCTGGCCATCTTGCGCTAAATTTTTGGATTTTTAATCTTGTTAAAGGAATTTATAGCGCGAAAAATAACGAAGAAGACGGGAGGGAATGAATGAAGGACATCCACTATGACGCGTTGTACATTCCAATCAATAAAATGGCTCGAATCATCAATATACTTATATTTTTCGAAACATATTTTTTATGGGCGTATGATCTGAAAAAATGAGGAAACTGCATGATCTGCAAATTGTCAGCTCGGCACATCGAAAAAGCCGTTATAAACTCGAAATATAATTTTGCGGCAATAAATAATCCCAAAATTGAGTTCCGATCGCATTAAAGATAGTCGATATGAAAAAAATTGTATTTTAATGCTAAGTTTGTTTGCTTGTAAATGTGTAAGTATTACTGCGTAAATGACTTCGGAAGTAATCTCGTATCAAACACTTAATTAAAGTTACACCAGCAAAGTAGCTAATGGATTCCATAAAACCGCCATTCTCAAACGGAAACACATCATTTTCATCACCAAAAATCACTTCAAATAATCGAACTTGATGAGGCGGGAATAGATAGGTTTGCTAATAGAAATATTGGAATGCAATGGAATTTATTAGCTCTGAATAATTTGAAACTGAAAAAGCTGTTTGGTAGCTCATATCGACATTATTATTTCGAAACTATTATTTCTATCGTTCTGCAGAAGCAATATATTTTTTTCAATCGTGAACGTAGATAATAAATAGAAAAAGATTTACAACGGAAGACATATAATCAAAAACAATGGAAAAGTAGTAGTTAATGCAAAAATAAAAATCTTAATTACCGCACCCAGGGAATGGGGTGGGTATTATATAGCCAAAACACATTTTTTACAGAAAGAAATATTTCCTTTATAAGGATCACTAATTCTTCGAATTGGTATTGCATAGCTCCATGCCCGTTTTGTACAAGGCAAAAACCGAGGGAAAGCTGGTAATCATTGAGTTTCTTAGCGCGAATATCGATTGATCTATCTGCCACAACCGCCCATGGGTTCGGTCCCGATGGCTCCCGGGAAAAGGCGTACTGTACGGGTTTTTGCCTGGGGCGCGAAATAGCAGCATGATTTTAACTGTGCAGGCTTGCTTTCGCAATGGCGCGACGCGTCTATCGCACGCGTTGCGGTCTTTCTTGGTTTCCAATTCTACCGGACGTTTTATTAGGCGCCGGGCCGCTGTGCTGCCTGCTAAAAGCGTCTATGCATTAATGACACATAATCGACGCTGTAAAAATATTGGATACCGATGAAAATGATTAATCTGATTGGAAGGAAGCCATGTCCAAGAAAGAAACCCGTGGTTCATTATTATCATCTGACCTCATCGGCAAATGGCAATTTTTTGAAACATGTTTGGCTACTACCCCTGTCTCGTACTTTTTCGACACAACTTGATTTTCATTTTTTTTGGATAAATTTCGAAATTCGCATGTTCTCCCATTAATGCAAAATTCAATGACCATCTTTGATGTGTAATTTCGCAAAAAAATATGACTGAAGAAAACATCAACGCATCAGCTTAACCAATTTTTTATTGACCTTTAAAACGTTGAAACATTTTTTGATAGCCGAAGGAGAGCGAAAGCATTTGAAGTGCCTTCAAAGTATTTTTATTGGGAAATTCGTAATCGGATGCAGTGGGTAAATCAGACCGAAGTTTGCGACCTTGGATTAGCCTAATCTCACAAAACTTTTTGTTAATTCAGATTCAAAACACTTTTTTTGGAAACTTCAGTAGTTTATCACCATTAGTATAATTCGTAATCAAGTAGCCGCTACAAAAATTTGACATCAAGAGGCGTCAAGGAATTATGTAGAGAAAACGTTTAACAGGTCTCGCGAATAATGGAAAGATTTTGCTTCTCGCGGCGTGATAAGAAAAGTAAATTCTCGGCGGCTGAGGCCTGCGTATAAAAGTTAATTCCGGTGCCTAAAAAATCAAATGTTTAGTTTTCTATGCTAGCAAAGCTGCATTAACATCGAGAAATCAACAAGTGAATACTGGCAGGAATTTGGAGATTTGTTGAAACATTTGAGCTTAGGCAGAACGATTGGCTAGCAAGAATTGCAATACCTGCTCAAATGGTCCGATAAAATCAGATATCATCCTGTTTCCAACCACTTATTTTGGAGTTTGTTGCTAGTTTGCTAGGCTAGCAGGAGCCAATGGCCGATGAGTTAAGCAGGGACTTTTCGTCGAAGTTGCCAGCATTGGAAACGTTTCTTTGTATTTCAATTTAGAAAAGAAAAGACCTCGCTATCCTAAGTATATATAGTATCATAAATACCATATCGCGACTAAAAAATGAATATTCAGTTTGATGGGGCTGGCTACAGATGATTAGCAAATTTATTTTGGAAAGAGTTTGGACATTTTTCGAAACATTTATTTGTGGATACTTACATTTATGGGCTGAGTAAAGCAAAATTCCCTTCATAATCTCCCGAATGGTCCGATAAAATTAGGTAGCAAGTTTTATTACCAAAGACAGCCTGGTATTCCTCGACAAAGATTTTTTTGTGGCTGATTGGTTGTCTTCAGTAAGGAATTTTTTCCCCGTTCGACCCCTAAAGGGTGGTCATTATCACAAGGCGTTGTGATGATATCATTAAGTAGTAAAAGCTGAATATTGACAAAAATAATTTATGCTTATTTTTGGGTGAGCTGGTTTTCCAGTCCAGCAAGTAGCAAAATGTGTAAGACAAGGAAGGAATTAAGCAGAGATACTTTTAACAGAACTTGCCAATACATACAACATTTATTTCTATTGATTTTAAGATGCGAAAAGGTGATTTTTCGAAACTTGGTCGTGCTTATAAAGTGTTATCTCCAGGGCCTAAGAAAACTAATATTAAGTTCACAAACCTGGCTGCGCAGTTGATTCACAATTAAATTTTGCAAAGAAAGAATTTTTTTGAAACATTTTTTAGATGAGCTAGAGCCATGTCGACTCGATCGGCGCTAAAACAGTCGTCTGCTGGAAGGAGGAAGCGATAATTAATAAATAGAGTTTGGGTTGAAACTGGAAATTTTTTTAAACATTTATTTACGCCGGACGATGGGCTGATGAAATCCAGATTCCCGCAAATCTCCGCAATGGTCCGATAAAATCTGATATCATCTTTTTTGCAAAGAGCTTATCTCGTCTGGTGCTATCAGAGGAAGTGCAAAGTGCGCACTGGGCAAATTGTGGATATGGAGACAGATGTATCATAGTTTCGGGTTGGGGCGCTGGGTGGCGTGAGATGGCTAGGTGGGGGATATCGGCTCCAATCTGTCTATCGCTCTCTGGCTCACTCACTCTCTCTCTGTCTCTCTCTCTCTCTCTCGCTCTCTGTCCATTAGTTCATCTTCTACCTGTCCATATCGCAAAAAAGATCTATTGAAAAGTGCTTGTAAAAAATGACAATTCCGCCGGATTCCTATCGGACGATCCTGATTTTCCAACTTCTACACTATCAAATTCGTGAAGCCTGGCCCAATTTCTCATTTTGCAAGGATGAAACATACAAAAAAAAACAAAAATATATGAGGTGGCTAAAAATTGAATGCCCATGAAATTTTATTATTTTTAGTGGCGAACGCTTTATTGACAGAAACTGGTGCTCAATGAAAGAATGACCTGAGAAGCTTTTCGAGAACTCAGGAAGCCTGAAAAATACCCAGCGAAAATTAGATGATGCAGGATAAGTTTAAAGAAAATGTGTTTCAGTATCGGATGAGACCAAGAACACGACTGCGCCGAATATTGCGCATTACGAGTGCCGTAGAATTCTTTTGAACTCGAAACCTTTGTTGGTTAGTTATTTCTGTTTTGTGTTGATTTTTAGCGCTCTCGCTCTTTGCCTCTCTCACTCACGTAGCTTCTCTCTCGCATTTCTTAACACACCAACAAATCTGCTAGAAATAACTAAACACGATTTTTTTTTATTTGATTTTTGTTTGAAACATTGCGCATACCCCGAGATTTTTACACCAGATTTCGGACAGTCGATTATTATCTCTGTCTCTCTCTCTCTCTCTCTCTCTCTCTCTCTCTCTCTCTCTCTCTATGTCTTCCGAAGCCTCTGGTAAAAAATGGAATCAGAAGGGCACAAGGTAGATAATCAAGGTATTTTACGGCAATTAAAAAACGGATCCTGTTAAAATCTAGGCAAATCAAGTCCAATCCCAAAAAAAGTTTAAAAAACAAGTTGCATGGTGTGTGGATAGGAACTATCCGTAGCCTCGGACTTGCCACCATCCCTCGGTCCGCTTGCCCGGGTCACCTGATAACGCTTTTTTACGATGGTCGCGCGATTTTTACCGGAAGGTCGCGTCTGCGGGACGACGCGGATATTTCGAGACACCACAACCCATTTCGTGCTGTTTTGTCGCGTTTTACGAGTTTTCTGCGAGTGGATTGAGAGTGTGGTGTGATTGGGAAGGGATCAAGGTGTTTTGATACAAAAAGCAAAAGTTTGGCGCCGAGGGGATTCGAACTTTGGTCATTCGGGTCGTAAGCGAGAGCCCAACCATTTAGCTAAACTGGCCAAGACCATTTTTATATTTCGCGCGTTTACGAGTTTTGGCCTGGGAATCGAGAATGTGGTGTGATCGGAAAGAAATTGGAATCATTTGGTTCAAAAAGCAAAGAAAAAGCTGTGGAAGGGATTCGAACTCGCACCTTGCAGATGGTAAGCGAGAGCTTAACCATTCAGCTAAACCGAATCCTGCGCGTTCCCGCCAGGAATCTTTGAGGATTTGTCTCCGCAGCTATTAAAAATTTTCCACAAAGAACCTTTGCTAGCTGGCCCGTGTCTTTTCGTTTTGCTCGTTTTTAAAGGCACAGTGTAACATCCAAAAACAAAAAAATCATGAAAAACATGAAATAAAATACATAAGAACTAGTAATAAATAAATATTAAATAAAATAAAAATTTAAGAACCTATATTTGACCCAAAAACCCGCTTTATTAAGGCCCGCAAAAAAATCACACAACAGCAC